CGTTCGGAACAACGTGTTTTAGATATGAACGTCGTCGATCGGTTTCTCTCGTTAGGTTCCTAAGTGTCATTCCATCGAAGCGTTGGCGGCCATCGAAGATGAGCCAACGAAATCGAGTGCGTCCCCTTCATTCGCGATTCATCCAGCCAAAAATGAACGATTCTAATGTAAAGAAAATGGACCTATATATATATTGCCAGTGCAAGAAGAACTACGGGCCTACTTGCATTGTTGTTTCCCGGCAACTGGCTTTCAACTTGAATGAGAGCAAAAGTGGGAATGTGTCGGTCGAGAATTGGTTTTGTAATGGATGGTTTGATGGTTGTTTCGTGCTTTTGTCGTTGTTCGATGCGAGAATGCTTTTAGAGGAAATAGCGTTTGGAAGAAAGCGTGTTATTCCCTTAAGAATATAGTTAGAACTGTGGTGGAAATTGGTGATAGTATTTAGTATTTGATTACATAATCTCGTAATTAAAAGAAAAATTATTTATACATCTTTGTGGTGTTTTTCTTGAAAAATTTATTAAATTTTATATATTAGCAATGACTGTGAATTGTTGTTTGTATTTGACGAAATCAAGAAATTGTGGATATATTTCGTTTTAACGGAATTTATATATGTGTTAAATTATTCTTGTCGATTGTAAGAATCGGGAATACGAATTGAAAAGTCAGTGATTTGAAACTTGAATTGAATGGGAATTGATGATATAATATCCTAGCGAGAACTGGAATTGAAACTTTTTTTGCGGTGATGATAAAATGTAATGTTTCGTTTTTATTTTTATCTATATATTCCATCTTGTCACGATATTATAAATATCTACATCATTTATTTTTTTTATCGAGATAAAATCGACCTTCTTATGTAACAAGTATCCTATTCAATTGATTGATAATTAAGATATGTTTTTAATTTTATTTTCATTTATCTGTTCGATATAAATTTACAATATTTTCAAAATTAGAAAGTAACGCGATGATATTTCAAAATAATCAATAGAAAATATCGATAATTATTATGTATAGATAAACAAACAACGTCAAACCATCCCAAACGCATCATCTCGCCCGATTCAAGTATCGAGTTTTCGGCCTATCGCGAAACCCGTGGCAAGAAAAATAAAAGGAGAATTAGTCGAATTAGTCATCGTTCAGAAATGAAATAGGAATAAGGATCGATCGAATGATCCTCGTCAGCATCCATCATCGTTGTCATCGACATTGATTTCGATTACAAAAAAAATCCGTTTAAAGATTCATTCAACGAAAAAAAAAAAAGAAACGAAGGATCTCGTTCGAGCACATCAATAACGAAACGAGAAAGAGAGAAGAAAAAACTTATACTTGCCTTTTTTTCTCCCGTTTCTCTTTAAGACTCGAGAGACGCGACGTTGCGCATCGCTTGACGGATTTAACCATGGCTTCCTTTATCGTAGCCTGGTGTCGAACAAAAGAAGAAGAAAAAAAAAAAATGAAAAAAATCTACGTGGAAGAAAAAAAAAGAGAAAAATATCGTACGAAGTACGTTGTATTTGAAAAAATAATAAAAAAAAGAAAAAGGATTTAAAAGACAATGCAGGGATACATTGTCTAGACGCTAGGAAAGTTACGAAACGCATGTCAATTGTTACTCTCAGATAAGTGTGAGTGCGTGCGGTGTGCGGAGGATGGATGAGACGCGTAATGTATGAAAGGGAGAGAGAAAGAGAGAGAGAGAGAGAGTATTCTAATTTAAAAAAAGAAACGAAACACACAAATAAAGAAAAAAAAAGAATAAAATAAAATGGCAACGTAACATTTTAAAGAAGAGAAAGAAGAAAAGTGAAGAGATATGACAAGGAATTATCGAGATTGTGATAAGAAGAGGACACAAAAGAATCAAGGTAAAAAACGGAGAAGATTGAAGATTTGTAAATGGTGTTTTGAGTTCGAATGGTGAAAGTGAAAAATTGAAAATGGTGAGAAATCGACGAACAGGAGCAAGACGAGGAGGAGAATAGGAAGAGAGACGAGGCAAGTGACTAAATATTTTCAGGTATATGAAATCCCTCCAATACTAGATCTCAATTGCTCAGAACAATCTAATTAAAAAAAAAAAAAAAATATAATAAAAAAAAAACAAATGTTATACATTTAATCGTAAATCGA